CAGTTGCTCCATGGTCTTTGTGTGGGCCTGCAAACGCCTCAGGTTGAACACGCTCCCGTCGAGACGAAAACGGATGTATACGCCATCAGCGTCGTCGAGGTCCTCTGTGACCTGCTGGAGCATCATGCTGAACAAAATGGTGAACAGCGTGGGAGCAAGAACACAGCCCTGTTTCACGCCGTTTGCAATAGGGAAGGGCTGCGAGAGATTGTTGCTATTTCTGACTTGTCCAAGCTGATCTTAATGAAGCTGGACGATCATGGTGAGGAACTTCGGTGGGCAGCCTAGCTTGTCCAGGATTTTCCAAAGTCCCTGCCTGCTCACGGTGTCAAACGCTTTTGTCAGGTCCACAAAGGTGACGTACAGTGCTTTGTTTTGCTCCCGGCACTTTTCCTGAATCTGCCTCAGGACAAACACCATGTCTGTGGTTCCCCGGTTGGCTCTAAAGCCACACTGGGTCTCTGGGAGGTGATCTTCAGCTATTGCGGGTACCAGTCTATTCAGCAGTACTCTTGCGAGGATTTTGCCGGCGACGGACAGAAGTGTTATGCCACGATAATTGGAACAGTCTGACTTCTCCCCTTTGTTCTTGTACAGGGTGATGATGACTGCATCTTTGAGATCTTGAGGGAGTTTACCCTGCTCCCAGCAGCAGACGAAGAATTCATGGAGTTTGGTGTGCAGTGCTGGGCCTCCGTTCTTCCATACTTCAGGAGGGATGCCATCGACTCCTGCAGCTTTACCACTCTTCAGCTGTTTAATGGCTTCCTCAGTCTCTTGTAATGTTGGTGCCACATCCAGTTCGGTTTTCACTGGTTGTTGTGGGATGCGGTCAATCGCTGGTTCTTGGACTGAGCGGCTAGCATTGAAGAGCGTGTAGAAGTGCTCAGACCAGCGGTTCAGGATTGAGTCCTTTTCAGTGAGCAGTTTTTTCCCGTCTGCACTCCGCAGGGGGCTCAGGATTTGGTACGAGGGGCCATATACCGCTTTTTGGGCTTCGTAGAATCCCCTGTAGTCGCCAGTATCAGCGCAAACCTGTGTTTTTACTGCGAGGTTGGTCCACCACTCGTTCTGAATCTCTCGAAGCTTGCGCTGGATGGTGCTGCATTCCAGGCGGAAGGCTGCTTTTTTGTGCGGGCAGGATGGTCGGGCCAGGTGGGCCTGGTGTGCTGATCTCTTCTTTGACAGCAGCTCCTGGACTTCTAAGTTGTTCTCATCGAACCAATCTCTGTTTTTATTCGTGGAGAATCCGAGGGTATCTTCAGATGTTTGCAGAACAACAGTTTTGATGCGGTCCCACAGCACTTCAGGAATCAGAGGCGAGTCTCCTAGGCAGCTCGGTTCCTCTAGCCTAGATCGTAGGCTTTTCTGGAAAGCTGCTTTGACCGCGGCAGACTGAAGGCTGCAGACTTTGAGCTTCTTCCTCGGGGCGCCACCGTTTCTTGGTCTGGGTTTAAAGTGAAAGCTGAGTTTGCAGCGGACAAGACGGTGGTCTGTGTGACACTCGGCGCTGGGCATTACCCTGGTGTGAAAGACATCTTTTAGGTCACGCTGGCGCACAAGGATGTAGTCTATGAGATGCCAATGTTTTGACCGAGGGTGCATCCAGGTTGTTTTCAGACTGTCTTTCTGCTGGAAGATGGTGTTGGTAATGGAAAGCTGCTGTTCTGCACAGAGTTCAAGTAACAAGCGTCCATTGTCGTTGCAGCTGCCCACGCCGTGCCTTCCAAGTACGCCTTTCCAGGTTTCCGAGTCTCTGCCCACTCTGGCGTTGAAGTCGCCAAGGATGACAATCTTGTCGTCAGCTGCGATATCCTGCAGAAGGTTGCGTAGGTCGGAGTAAAACTTGTCTTTATCAGCGGGATCTGCCTGGAGAGTTGGAGCGTACACACTGAGCAGCGTTGCGTGTTGTTGGTCACGAAGTGGTAGACGCATTGAGATGATGCGGTCAGAGTGACCAGTTGGCAGGCTTGCAAGCTTGGTAGCGATAGAGTCCCTGATCATGAAGCCGACACCTGAACGGCGTCTCTCTGTCGCTGGTTTACCTGACCAGTAGTGAGTGTAACCTGCGCCATGCTCCCTCAGACTGCCTTCCTCTGAAAAGCGGATTTCGCTGAGGGCGGCGATGTCAACATCCAGCAGAGCGAGTTCGTGTGCAATTAGAGCAGATCGTCGCTCAGGTCGAGTGCTGTCAGCTGAGTCTAGCATGGTTCTGATGTTCCAGCATGCGAGTTTGAGTCCTTTCCCACCTTTTAAGGCGAGTGGGATGCGCCGTCGATTCTTTGATGTAATTCGACCGCATATGAAGATGCCCGTTGACCGCGGTAAGCCAACTGAGGGAGGAGGAGACGAGCTTTGTTTAGGCCACCTTTTCTAGGCCCCTCTCCGTGTGGAGCAAGCAGTGCTGTCCCTAGAAAAGGCTGCTTGGTCGCTCAGGGTGCTGCCGGGTGATGATGTCGTTTCCAGGTCATCATCAGACGACCACTTGCGCCTGAGCCGCCTGCATGCAGGATTGAGACTGCGGCTGCCAGTGTCATCTTACACCTGCCGAGTTCGCCCCTTTCCCATCGCTACAGGACTTAGTGAGACCGGGGGGGGGGGGGGGGTAGACGTGAAGATGTCCTTCTTGCCTGCGCAAAGGAGCTTTCAAGTGGAGTGCAATGTGCGCAGAACTGACCCCACCCTTTAAACCCGGGGTTCGTCTGCCATGGCCTAGCAAGCTGGGACGGTGACAGCGAGGTCCTCGGGCCGTAGGTTTTACATCAGAGTTTCCTTCTCCTAGGTAGACAGCCTTCCAAGGCTGAAGAGATCCACCTTCCCTGCTATTTCAAACCATAGCTGGTAGGCCACAGCCGCAGTCCACAGTAACGAAGTGGCGCGCCTTAGTCCCGAACACTTGGCCGTTGGGTCCTAACGAGACCCTTCCGCCCTGGCCGGTGACTCCGTCGTGGGAGTTCATTCGCCCAGTGATGCAGTGTTGACATCACCCCCTCACGTCGTTTAGCCCGCCAGCTGAAGCGGTTTACCGGGGTGTGGCACTAGGAGCCAGACGTCCGAGATTTAGGAGATGGATGAGGACCAGTGTTTCCGTCCACTCAAAAATTGAGTGCAGCTACCAGAAAACAAAGGTACTACCTCTACCCAGAGCTCCCTACACCCTTAATTAAATATAAATGAACTTCCGTTCATTTATATTTAATATTTCAATATGTATGCACTGTTGGACTTCTTTCACATCGTACGTAGCCAACGGTGCTAATCGGAGGTGCACCACGTCTGCTGGATGAGGGCCTCCTTACACTGTCTGTGTAGGCAATGGAGGATTATTTGACCACATTTCACCACGTTGGTCAGTGCAGGTTAGTGGTGGTGGTGGGGGAGAGTATAAATTCCAAGAGTTTTTTTGTCTTTCCTTTACTGCCCACAATGCCTATTGCAACAGCCGCCATTCACCACTAAGTGGTGGTGACGTCACCATGGCGCCTGTGCCAGGCCAGGTGCCCTTTGAGGCCACGTGAAGTGTCGAAGGCCCTCTGACAGGTCACGGGACAGACCCAGCAGATGGCATGGGTTGACTGAAATTACTGGCAAGATGCACCACCTGTGTCTCCCACGGTGCCAACTTGCTGCGTTTTATTCGCCTTGCGTTTCGCTCGTTGTTGTGAGCGTTGCTCCTATGCCCTCCGTTGTTGTTACTGGAGTGCGACTGCCTCTAACTGCCCAGTCGCATAATTTCACGAGCATCCTAGATAAAGGTCGATCGTGAAACCGCTGGTACCGGTCATCGGCAAGTCCACTCAACTTCACATCCTCAACGCCCATTCCACCTGTATTGTCATGTAGTGGCGGTCGCTCATTCAGGCACGATCCAGGCTCAAAACCTGCTTAGCTCCTCAAATCTGATGGGATGTTTCACATTCCGCGTGATTTCACCACAAGATGCCCGTTTGAATATATCACAACGCAGGTGTTACGTTTAATTATTTATTCGTTGCATGTTTTAAAACGATACACGAGGTTAAAAAAATCACGATATAATGGCAATTTTTTTTTCAACAGCAAAAAACTAATCTTTCCAAGAAAACCCAGCGTGCTCTGCATGTCCAGATGACAGCGCCCCTCCTGTGCACAGGTTTGTGGTGATGACTCAGCAGGTCAACCAGCAGCTCAGCGAGACCCTTAGAACACGGATTTTTTTTAAATTTACGGCAGCAGATAGACGTCAAGGAAACTGCGTCACCATTTAATCACGACCAGGACATAATCGGCGCAGTGTAGCTGTCATTGTCTACCGCTGCCAATTTCTGCCTGGGAGACTCGCGCTGAATTTGGTTTTAATAATTCGAAACCGTTTGCCAAACGATTCATTGCGGCACGCTTCAACGGCGGCGCTCACTACACACACACACAAAGTGCTTGCCGCAAATGAACCAGGATACCTTCTGTGATCTCATCAAAGAGCATAAACCACCATCACGTGAACTCCGGTCATCCTCGTAGCAGTAACAGCAGAAGCTTTTGGCTCAGCCATAAAACAAAAACTGTGGTCACCGCATCGCGAGCTTTGAGATTCTCTTCCGCCGTCTGGAACGCTCTTCCTTCCAATATTAGGAAGCCACTGGAACTATGCACTTTTAAATCTATGTTGACAACGAATTTCTATAGAACTGCTTTTGTGTTTCGTTTGTTGTCCTTTCCCCGCAGCTCTGAATAGCACGGTTGGCTACGTACAGTGCGGAATAAGTTAAACGTACATACTGCTGTGTACGTGGTTGCGTTTGTGCTGTACGGCTCTCCGACGTGTTATTGTGGCCGTTCCGCTCGTCGTTCGGCACGATGTCCAAATGTTTTGCCCCACGTGCTGGGAGCTTCTTCGGGAATGGATCATATCAGTCCAATACAGTTCCTGAAAGAAGCTCCCAGCACGTGGGGCGAAACGTCGGACATCGTGCCAAACGACGTGATTTACGACCTGAAAACCACATCGGAGTGTTGTCGTCTACCGCTTATCAACCTTAAGCCAACGCAACAAAGAAGCGACACTGAAGAAGGGTGCAAACACAAGTTTGCCAAGGTCCTTTTCAGACTTATTTCCACATCAAATGATATTGTCAAACATCTAGAATAAACTGGTGTATCTTCTGCAGTTGTTTTGAGATATAATATGAAAATGTAATAAGGTTATTTCATGATAAACTAAATAATTTGGGTAACAGGCGTGTGGGACTGTATTACTTCGACAGCGCGCAGATACAAATTCACACGTGGAACGATTCTTTTTCCAAAAGTGACATTCAGATAATATATATAGAACGATAATATTAATTAATAAACATTGTCAATCCACCGCTGGAGTAAGGCCTCCCCCCCACACCGTGTCAGTCATGGAGTTTTATGACCATACTTCCCCGCACTGGTCAGTGTGGGTAGACGAGGGCGAGCTCCCATGGACAGGTACAGGTGTCACCGCTGTGCTTGTGACCTGGGTCTGGGTACAGACTTGGATACGGCAACTGGATGAACGGTCCGTGGCTAAAGGTGGCAGTAGCGTTATATTTGTGCCTGACTCTCTGTGTTGTATTGCATTATATTTCTAAGTTTACTAGGTTTGTTTTCTCTTTCATTTGTACCTGATGATGATTGTGTTGCAATCGAAACGTCGTATGCTATTATTTAATTTATTTTCTTTCTACGTGACTTTACCGAAAGAACCAAAGAGTAATTCCTGCAGTCACGAAAGCTCCAAATCAAGTTTGGGACACAATAAGTTTGGCATAACGAAGGTATATCCTGATATGTATAGAGAGTATTCCCTCGTTATTCACGAACTTGTTATCTCCGATTTTGGCTATCCGCAAATCGCATCTGGAACTCTACACGATGGGATCGAGAGAGAGAATGCGATGACAAAGTTACGAGAGTGCAAGTGTTGAGAGAGCAAGCGATGAGAGAAAACACGATGAGAGATAAAGCGATGACAGATAAAGCAATGAGATATAGTGATAATATAAGGAGATATGTTATTATAATTGTCACATATTTAATATCTTATATATGCATTTTAAGGTAATTCTTTAGAACTGCTTTTTTGTGTTTAGTTTATTGTCCTTTCCCCGCACCTTCAATTAACACGGTTGGCTACATATGGCGCGAAAGAAGTTCAACATGCATACATATGTAATTCGTCTGTGGCAGACATTAATTATTTATTTGGCCTAAAAAATCCTTTCCAGGCGGGGACAGCGGCAAGCGCTGCCCTGATCTTGCTCAACAGCGCTTCGTGCAACCCCAGGCTGTGCGGTTGCTCCCGCAGGCCCCTTCGGAAGCTGACGAACCCCGCGGAGAGTATGCCCAGCGAAAAGTTGACGATCACGAAGGTGTTCACAGACGTGAAGGCGAAGTAAATCAGAGGCCCGAGGACGCGGTTGGCTGCGTACAGCTCGCCATAGCCCGGCTGACCCAGGAGCAGGGAGAACAGCTGCTCCAGGCACGTGGTGAACGTGCGGTAGTTCCGCAGCGAGCCAGCGAACAGCAGGCTGGTGAGCTGGCCGAAGCTGCAGAAAACGACGAGCACGATGACTGCGAAGCCCTGGATGTGGTCCCGCGCCTCCGAGAAGGCGCCGACGAGCACCTCGAATTGCCTGAGGGACTTCATGTGGCCCAGCACCTTGACGGTGCTGACAAACACGAGGGTCGCCAGCAGTTCAGAGAGCTGCCGGTCCCACGTGACCAGCTCCTGAAAGTTGACAAACCTGTCTATAAAAGAAGAGGGAAGGGCCCATTGAGATTTTGCACTCTGACCGATGTCCATTGAGATCGAGTAATCGTGCCGGCAATCTGTAGACTCATCGATTACAGCACTTACAATAATGGGGGATATATAACCCCAGCTCCACTTTAGACGAAGGAATCAATGACGATCGTTAAATGTACCGGTCCAGAGAGACCCGCCCGTGGAAGTTTGTGAAGAACTTACGCGGATCCGTTCTAAACTTCTCAAGCGTGCGCGTGGCCACGCTCATCTTGATGAAGTAAGTGACCACGGAGCCTGCACCGAGCGTGATGCTCAGCAGCTCCACGATGTTCCAGAAGCTTTTGAAGTACGCCACGCCAAGTTCGGACAAGCGCAGGGCCTCCGTGGCGGCAATGATCACCAGCACGACGGTAAAGACGATGTAAATTACGCCAGTCAGGGTTTCCAATTTGCCCACGAAGCTCTCTATCCTAAACACGTGGATGTATGCGTGCCCATACGCACCACCTGAAAAACAGTGAGCAACATACGTCAATTTAACACGTAGGCTTTTGCGACCAATATTTCCCGTAATAGAGGTTACTGGGTTAGGTCGCGTAGAAATAAATTGTAATTGATATGCGCACCTGATTGGCTCACAAGTGAAAACATCACATGTACCCCTCTATTTAAGACTGAAACAAGAGGATTTCTCCACAACTATGGCTGTCGCCTGACGATGCTGGCTGTAATTACCAGTGAAACGTTGTACTCGAATTGTAAATGTTGTGGATTTATTCTCCAACACAACCGGTGTGCTGTACTAGTCACGTGACAAACCTTACTAATTGGTTGTTGGGTGGTGGCGAGTTTAACGACACATTTATATTTACGCAAACTAACCAAAAAACCTCTTATGGATAACATATGTGAAGTAAATACACATTCTTGTGCTGTCATTATAATAATAATGTTCTGAAGAATGGTGATACTGCCGTGGTGTTAACGGTCAACCCACTGGCCTTGCGATCCAGAGGTCACCGGTTCGATTTCCCCGCACGGCAAATGAAACAATGGTGCAAGTTTCTTTAAGAGTGCCGCAGTGGCGAGATGTTAACTGTTTTGCCAAGTATACAGGAGGCCGTCGGTTAGATCCTGACCCTGATGCTTTTCTGTATATTTGGAATTCGATTTTTCAATGGGTTCTCCAGTTTTTCCCTCCACATCTAGAATCAACATAAGCTTTGAGTATTTTGCTGCTGATATAAATTTCCACATGATACGCCACTTTGTTCAGCTATCATATATGGCCAGGTCGCTTCTGAATAAGAGCTACGTAGCTCAGTTGGCCTTACCTGGTAGAATGAAACTAAAATCTAGGTCTCCATGAACCCAACAGTATAAATGGATACACCACAGTTAGTGGATTGGCAGTTTGTGTGTGCGGTGGGGTAGAGTGTGAGTACTTGAACTTCTTCCAAGACGTTCAGCCAGCTTGGAAGAGTAGGCAAAATACCCCGTAGAGGGGCCCTCTTCTTACCTCCTTGCGAGAACTCCAGGAGGAGGGTGACGGAGCAGAAGAGGTCCGTGTTCATGTTGTAGCCGGTGAACTCGGTCAGCACGGCCCTCGTGCTGTGGTCCAGCCAGGAAGCTGAGCTCAGGTTGGCCACGATCTCCGTGCCATCCGCGAGGTTCAACCCCAGTTCGGCGACGAACCCTCCTCCCGGATAGAGCGCGAGGTCTCCTGTGAATTGTAAACGTTCTGGGTTTACTCTCCAACACACAACCAACCGGTGTGGCTGAGCTCATAACGAATTTGCACGTTTTAGTTTACGTGACCAACCCTTACTAATTGGCTGTGTCGGATGGTGGCAGGTTAACGACACGTATATTTAAGCGATCTAACACCAAAAAAAACCCTCCATTATGACCTCCTGGGATGCCACACGGGCGCACAGTTGAGTGACGTGATGCGAGAAGACTTAAGGGAAGGGATTAAAACAGTTGTTGCTTAAACAGTAGTGAATCGTCGTGATTGGGGGTGAGCGATTTGATTCAATATTTAAGATAATAATAGTACATGTGAAGTAGATGGAAAAGTATTGTTGATTACTCGCTCTTTAACAATAATGCGAACACAAACGCAAATATTTTCATGCACATTCCACAGTAGCTGGCCGCGGATGTAGGGAAGTTCGTGGGGGGCAAATGGTAAAATTACAGGAGATTGTTAACATGGAATGTTGGAAAAATTACTGTACCATTGTGGAGAATGCGAACAAAAAATATCGTATTAACTTTCTGAACAACGAAGCCTCATGCCTACTATACGTTACGTATTACATTTCACACTTTTATTTTGTGTTTATATTTCTGTATATGCAGAATCGTTTTTTTTCTGCCTGACCCTACTGGATGTGGAGAAACCGGCTCGCTTGTATTGAAGCAAATGCTGCACTCCCCTGAAGGCTGTGAGGCCGACCAGTCGGCCTTCAACCATAGCCAAGCAACTCCTGATCACCTCTGTCAGCACCCACCCCCCCGATTGCTTTGCACCATCGCACAGTTTTCAATCTTACCGACTGTCGTGAGCCCTTGTAAAGCCTGGGCGGTGCTGTATGACCAACAATTCCGCTGGCCCGATGTGTTCGTGGAATTCGCACTCTGCCACCCTTCCAGAAAGCTGCCGGTCATTTCTTCATCTCCGCCGCCGGACACTTTGTGCTGTAAGCCCATTACATCGTTGAAGCTCTCTGAAAATAAAACGAAACGCGTGCACGCGCGGGGTTAACTTCCTATCCATCTGACAGCGATGCTAGGCAATATCGTGGGGCCTTTTTGGCAGTATCAAAGTATGAAAAATAAGAATAGGTTTTACCATTTCTGGCAATAAAACAGGCGTTAAGATGTTCAAACACCAAATATATGCCTTTTACCTGCTATATTGCCAGAAAGGGTGAATTAAAAACTATTCTTATTTTTAATACTTTGATACTGCCAGATAGGTGTCCCATGGTATGTAGCTGCTCACCCTGAGCTATAAATGCTCTTCATCGTGGCATTGTCTTTGTACTGTTGGTGTTCTTTGGTCTGACACTGGTGAGACTAGGCCATAAAGAAAGCTGTCTCTGGTGTAGGCCAATCAGTTTCAAAGACAATGCCCTTTACTATCAAAGCACGTTTGTTTGCATGTGCACCACAAATACTGTGTGTGGTTAATACAGACTCGAATCCTTGCAAAAGGTATCGATTTGGTGTTTTAACATCTTAACACGTCCTGTGTTATTGCCAGACGTGTGTAATCCTTTCACACTGTAAAGTTTCAGCACGACTGAAGCCGTAGAATTCTAAATATTGTGTAATGATATCACCTTCTTGGTTCTTTCGGTAAAGTCACGTAGAAGGGTAGTAATAAAATCCCTGCAGTCACGAAAGCTTTAAATCGAAAAATGATATCACCGCTTTCTGGAAACGTTATTGCAAAATAGTGTCATTGTGGGTTTGGTGCCACGGTGGGTCGAAGGCTGGCACTAAGTTCCCAGTGCGGGCACCAAGTCCCAGGGCTGGCAGGGGCTTGGAAGGCGGTGACGTGATGGTGACGTGTGGTGACGTGGCGGTGACGTGGTGGTGGGTACAGGGAGCACTGTGATTGGTCTAAGCGGTGCGTATGATGAAGCCAATAGCTTTACCTGGTAAGATAAATAAAACGTTTGATTTGTATATATTTTTTAAAGTGATTTGTTTACCTTTCCTGTACTTTGCACCCCTGTCGTGCTATTCGTCCTGTTTGTTGTTGTAACGTGCTAACCCGCCACTACTGGACAGAGGGGGGCATGGTAATAATAATTATACCTGTGGAGTTCTTAGTACCTCTTAGTAACTCTGTCAATAACGATGTGTGCTTAAAATGCTAAATAAATATATAACAGGTGGCGGGTAGGGCAATGATACACAGAGAGGTCAGAGAGACAGAGTGGACAATACGAGTTGGTGACTGCACTACACCGTGGGACGTGATGAGAATCACTTTTTTTTACTTTACCCGATGACCCAGTTGTTAAATTGGTATGCAACAGTAGCTATTAAGTAACAGGCAAAGCCGTCGTGAATCAAAAAGTATTAGGAAAATAAATTTCGATTAAAATTCTAAAATCTTTTCGGCACCATTGCATTTTGCAGTCTCCGACAACTCTTATTATCCACTCCGGCTGGCCTCTCTCGTTACATGTGATAAGGAAGTAAGGACCGTGGCACAACATGTCAGCTATTATTTAATTTAAATGTTACGGCCACATTGTTGTTATCTAGAAACATGCCTTTTAGATTATTTAAGTTATTTTTATGCTTAAAATGTCCACCATAATGACACGTCACTTCGTTCAGCTATCATTTGTGGCTGGGTCGCTTATGAAAAAGCGAATAGCTCAGTGGGCTTTACCTGGTAAGATGAAAATAGTTGTTTTATTCGAATATATGTTTTAAAATTATGTATTTAGGAGCCGTCCATAAACGACGTCACACATCTAGGGGGGTGGGGGTCGAACATTTGTGACTTTATAATTATGAGAGCATTTCAATATAATATTCTGAACATCTGCAGTTTTAGGTAGACGTTGAATATTTTCTAGTGAATTTTCTGCTAAATTTCAGCTTTCCTACAACATCAGAGTGCAGCGCCACATTAAATATGCACTACAATGACAATAGTTTAAAGTGATTTGAAGCATGTTTTATTTTCAAAATTAAAATTTGGTTTTGGAGGGGGGGGGCAGAGCTTTGTGACGTTATATTTGAGGGGGGTCTGACTTTTTGTGACGCCGGGTGACGAGGGGGGGAGGGAGGGGGGTCAAAATCAGCCAAAATCGCGTGACGTCATTTATGGACGGTCCCTTACCTCTTCCATGCTTTGCACTCCTATTGTGTTTTTGCATTGTTTGTTGTCATAACGTTCTGACCAGCCCCGACTGGACGTTTGCGAAAAAAGAGCTTTATAGCTCATTGGATTCCTCGAGTATCAATACATATTTAGATTTTGAGTGTTGTGTTGTGCTTATGCACCACTGCCAATGCAGCAGCAGCGGCAGCAGCGTCACCAAATAATCTGTTGTATTATTCAGTGCGCTGTTCCTAACATGTAAAGTCTTCCTCACTGCTCGTTTTTCGTTTGCGTTGTCCCCCCCCCCGCACCTCTGATTAGCACAGGCGGCGACCACATACGGTGCAGAAAGAAGTTCAACATACGAATACATACATTAGGGTCAGTGGACGTGGGGGTGGGGCAGGCTGTGTGCGTGTGTGGTTTATAATCTTCCTAACGAGCCAGGCGAGTATCGAGCGATCGTTTTGTTTTGGCGCTCGTGGTGGTATCCGCCCCCCCCCCCCGTGACAAAGTCGCCACTGCCGTTGGCGCCGACAGGAGGAAGTTCCACGCACGCGGCACGGATCTGATCTGGCGCAGCCTGCCAGGTCCCACACGGATCGTGCTGAAGTCGCCGAGGTAGTAGCGTTCTCTCCAGCTCATCCTCTCCCCGTTGTACCACGCCCTGGGGTAGAAGTTCGGGAGGAAGCCGTTCTGCATCCAATCCCAAAACGAGCCGACGTCCGCCACCTGCTCTCGGGAATGCAGGGTCACAAAGGGTCGCGCTCGTCACATCGTGAGGTCGTGCTTCATCACACAAGCACACACAAAGTGTTTGGCCACAAACAAACAAACAAACGGTAGATTTGAAGTTTTCGTTACTACTTTGGTTTACTGTAATTTTGCTGTGACGGTTCCACCTGAAGACGGAAGCTTGTGTTGCCTCCGAAACTTCGTGATTTAATTTATTGGTTTTATTTTAACCTACGTGACTTTACCGAAAAAAATAAATAGTAAACAAACTGTAATACCACCGCGCTGCTGATCTCATCAAGGAGTAAAAACCATCGTCACGCTAACTCTGCCTATCATCCTCGCAGGAGCAGCGGCAGCCTTTCGCTGACGGTCGCCGCATCACGCGGTGGTTTCGGACGGAAAGTTTTTCCTTACGATATTAGGAAGCCACTGGAGCTGTGCACTTTTAAATAAAGATTAAAAACTAATTTATTTGCGACTGCTTCTTGCGTTTAGTTTGGTGTCCTTCCTCCAGACCTGTGATGAGCACGGTTGGCTATGTATGGTGCGAAAGACGTTCAACACACATAGGTACATACGTACACGGTGGTCACCCATTCAAGCACTATCCAGGCTCAACCCCCCCCCCCCCGCCGCTTAGCTCCTGACATCTGATGAGACCTGGTCACCTGTGACAGCATTGCCATTCCCCAGTGATGGAAACAACCCTCGGCGCAGACACAGCGGACTCCCCGGAGCACTCACGCGGTCGAAGCCGTCGAGGACGAACGCGTTGCGGACAGAATTCTGGACCAGAAAGGCGTCGGGGTCCCTGCCGCGGTACGCGATGAACGCGAGCAGCGCCGCGTGCAGCAGGAAGAGGACGAGCTGCCTCGCCCGCACCCACGCCGCGCGCTCTCGCTCACGTGCCCGGCGCATCGCCAGCAAAGCGGCGCCCTGCGGGGGCCCGGGGAGGTAGTCGGCGCTCGGCAGCTCCGCCGCTTGCGTCGGAGCTTTGCGGTGGTCGTCTGCTTTGGGCCACTCGAACGTGTCCGCTGGTTTGTACGCAAGGTCGGGCCAAAAACCGTACGAGCGGTCAGTGTATCTGAGAGCGAGACGAAGCGTTGGGCGTCGCTGGTGGCGAGATGTTACGAGACGGTACGGTCACATGCCCAGCGGGACCGCTTCCCCATTCTCCAGCCACAACTCGGAGCATAAGCCACGGTGTAAACAGCAGCGGCTTTTGGCTGGCCGTCGAACGAAAACGGTCGCCGCATCGTGCGCTTTCGGAGGCGCTTCTGCGGCCCGTCTGGAACGCTCTTCCTTCCATTATGTTAGGCGTCATGGTGGCAAGGTGTTGACTACCTCGCCCGGTATACAGGAGATTCGTGGGTTCGATGCCGACCCTGACGCCTGGTGTATATTTGCAGTTTTCATGTATCTCTTTCTCCCCGTGGATTTTCTCCAAGTTCTCCGGTTTTCCCCGCCACATTTAAAATCATGGGTTTAGAGCATTTGGCTGTTGTTAAAAATGTCCACGTGATAAGCCACTTTGTTAAGCTATCATTTGTGGTCAGGTCGCTTCTGGAGAAGTGCTCTTTAGGTCAGCGGGCATTACCGGATAAAATAAAAAATATATATTTTGGTTTCTTTAAAAAAAACCTGCCCTAGTATTTTCTCCCCAAAAGCTCTTCCACCTTGCGCTATCAAGCGCTTTGAGATATCTCGATATGAAAGGCGGTTTATAAAATAGAGGTTTTGTATTATTACAGGGACTCCTCTACTTATGAACATTCGACTTACGAATTTTCAGAGATACGAACAAACCTATCCGTACGTCCAGTTGCCTATTCAGACCGAGAGTCGTAAGTTCAACCTTACATGTTTGGAATCGACAGGAGTAAAGTTGGACATACGAACGAATCGACTTACGAACAGACCTCAGGAATCTAACTCGTTCATAAGTAGGGGAGTCCCCGTATTATCATTGGCATCGTGTCGTAAGATGAAGCAGCGATTTGAATCTTCACGCAAATCACTGTTGTGGTATAAGAGAATGACCCCGCGGAGGAAGTAGATATCGCAGAGCTACCTGTGAGATCCCTTCAAGTGACCTCTGGTTCCACACAGTCGTGGGTGCCACTTACCACCTGCCCTGCCACTGTCAAACCAATATTTCAGACATTCTCACGAGCTGGAATTTTTCCCAATTAAGTGCAGAACCGAATGTGATTAAATTCTTATTTTGTTATTGTTGCTGTGTCTGCAGACATTGGTGATCTGAGACTGTGAACTCTACACTCGAGGACCCGGCCTAGTTCATCCCAGCATCTTAGCAGCGCCAGGTCAGTGCCCTGATTTCTCAGCCACCTCAGACAATGATAATAGTTATCAGTTCCGTTATTTATATAATTTTACCTTTGTCTTTAAACAACTCCAACGTGTCGTCGATGTGCAGCGGCTTTCTCTTTTTCTTCATCAGCAGTGACACAAAAAATGCAATGCATACAACCTTGGGAAGAGAGAACAGTTGTTTTACACAGCTGGTTACGCGACGCTGCCAGCGCGTGTCGGTGTCTCCACAGCAGGCCAAGTTCTAAATCGGTCCCAACGGAATCGTCACCTCAATTCCAGGACATTTTTCAGTCCGCTTTACTTTTCAGATTTTTTTTTTCCCTCCCACTTCCAGCCAACTAAATCATTATTATAATTCGTAGTTATAGTTCATTTAATTTAATTCAAGATTTCTCATCAGAGGGGCAACAAAGGTCAACTTTGCTGGGTTGAGAGAATGCGGAATTAAATAGCCCACATATTGGTTCATATTCACACAACACGGTAACTCACTTTTTATATGGCAAAAAATGCCCTTAAGAAACACTGTAAGGCACAACACGTTTGGACACACCGATTTAATTAACCCGGCGGTCAAACCCATTTTCACACGAAAATTGTATCTCCTTTATGACATTCATAGACTAACACAGAGATCCATTGACTTACACAGATAATTTAATAGGCAAGAGCTTCTGGAACCAGCCTGGTGAATAACTGGAATGCTGTCGGTGAATGATCGAAGCAAGCAGTGCCGTTACCACGTGATTGGCGTTTTTTTGGATTGTATGCACATATGTATGAATTGTTGACCTTATTTCGCACCGCACGTAGCCAACTGCGCTAATCGGAGGTGAGGGGGCGACGCGAATTGGTGACCACAGTCGCACTGTGGGCCACCCTTAATTGTCGACAGGTGCAGGCGAGAGCCGCATGTGGGTCCATTCCCTTCTCTCACGTCAAAACAAAAACGACCCAACGTCGATCTTACCTTGACGGGTTGGACGATGATGATGGACTGAAAGAACGACATGATGAATACGCGCAGCCACAAGTTGGCTTTGTCTGGACCCCACTCCATGCTGTAGAGGATGGTGAAGAAGCCGGAGGCCACCACGGAGAGGAAGACCAGGGACCAGGCCACGAACTTGTAGAACGCGGTCGCCGTGATGCGGCGGCACGGCGGCGGCTTTCTCCGCGGCCCGGGGTCACCCTCCCCCTTGCCGTGGGTCTCGAAGAAGCGGAGTGTGGCCGGGCTGTAGGTCTGCCGTCGGAAGACGGCGACGATGATGAAGCTGACGGGGAAAACGATGAGGTTGCTCATGAGGCCGATGAGCATCTCCGAGAGGCTGAGGGTGAAGGGCCCAATCTGGACGTTGCCGGAGCCGGTGCTGGGGCCCGTCTCGAACCACATGGCGTTGGTGATCATGGTGAGGAAGAGCAGCGACACGCAGCAGGAGATGCGCTGCACGCGGGAGAACGCGCTGCGTGTGGGGCGCATAAAGACGGAGACCCTGGGCGCAAACACAGCAACAACGACAACAAACACCACGAGGTGTAATGATTTGTAAGCAAGTCTGATGCTACTGGTGGAGGGACTAACTCATTTCTTTCCAAATGCTTGTTGTGTTTAGTTTGTTGGCTACGTCGGGTGTGAAACAAGTTCAGTATACATTTGTAGGGTGTTACGGGGGGCAAACAAACACACAAGGGGTGGTTGCGCCCACACGTGTAAGGGTGCCTACATCCACGTCCGCAACGGTTAGCCCTGGGGGGCTGTGACGGCGCTGTGATCCCCCACGGCCCCACCCCTCAGGGGGGAGTTGCTATATAAGGCGGGGAGCCGGTGGGCTCGGGGTCCAGTATTACAGACTTAAACCAGTGAAGAGTGAAGACCAGCAGGATAGGCCCTGGGACTACCCTGGCTCGCTGTCCTTCTAAGGACCGACCAGGGCAAGCCAGCGGCGCGGCCCTGAGAGCCCAGAGCCGATGCTCTTGTAAGAGCCAGTCTGGTTGGCTAAGGGTGCCGAGATCCTAGCTTGGCCAGAGCTGGATCAGCTAGCCTCCCCTAGCTCTCTAGTGGAGGACCTGGGAGCAGACTAGCCGGGCTAGCGCTAGTGGTGTCTCCCTGTTAGACGGGTGAAGGGGCCGTTACCCCTTCAGTGTTGTATACGTTGCCCTGTGCCGAGTCTAAAGTTATAATAAATAAGTGTGCCTCCGACTACGTCGTCTACGTCTCCTTGAACTCACTACACATACATTATGACCCTTTACGAGATGAGCAAGGCATTATGGTTCATTTGTTCATTTGTGGCAAGCACTTTATGTGAAATGAGTGCGACCTTAAAATGATTTGGTGGCGCTGCTGTGTTTAGTTTGTTGGCTACGTATGGTACGAAAGAAATTCAACGAACAGTGCATACATTAGACTAAAGATAAAGGTGTAGCCCTGCAATTGCCTCATCACGCCACTTCTGTCAAAAGGGTATCCACTCAAGATGACCCTGGAGAAGCCCCTTTTGGGGGGTACCTTGGCCTGGAAATTTATAGCAGCAGCCAGTGAAGTTGATTCTAAAGGCGGAGGGAAAAAATCTAAGGACCCGGAGAAAAATCCACGCGACCATGGGGAAAGACATGCAGACTCTGCCTCTACAGGTGTCAGGGTTGGGATAAAACCCATGACCTGTAAACTTAAAAAACCTATATAGCTCAATGGGCCTTACCTGGTAAATTAGATAAATAAAAAGTTTGTTTAGTTTATCAATTGCGTTCATGGGAAATGTCGTAAACCGAGGGAGATACCTGTACTCTAAAGAGGTGCGGGGGGGGGGGAATTGGCTTATACTGTACAATGCTCCACCTGTATATATGTTGGACTTATTTTGCACCATACGTAGTTAACCGTGCTAATCGGAGGTACCGGGGGAAGGAAAAAGACTAAACACATAAAGCAGTACTTTTAAATCTTAATGATTTAAAAGTACATAGCTCCCAGTCGCTTCCTCACATCGGAGGGCCGGAATCCCTTCAATGAGGTCTGGAATCACTCAGATTTGCCCAGAGCCGCAGACACTAAACCAACCGTGTGTTACGCCGAGGTTGCTCGTGCAGTTGGGTGGGGTAAGCCAGCCTCACACGCAGTCATCATGAACGTTGAACCCGCACCGTTTCCGCCCGTGTTACCGTAGCCTACCACATGTGGTCGTCGGTGATCTTGCTCTGCACCGTCGACGAGAACACCATCCCCGTGCTGGGAATGAACTGGAAGCCGGCCACCGGCAGCTCCCTGCACAGCTGTCCGTCCTCAAACTCCGCCGCCAACCAGCGGTCGCACGGGAATGCGAACCTTTGGACACAGCGCAACTCAAGTGCCGTTCGTTGCTCGATGGTGGATCAGACACAGGCGCGAGGGGGTGAAGGCACGGTCCATGCAAGTGTCCACCGCTCTTTGCCACTGCTGGCGGAAGGGCCCCCACTAGAGGGAGCGCTAGAGAGGGGCAAAGTGGTGGCTAGGAGATGTTAACTACCTCGCCTGATAGACAGGAGGTCGTGGGTTCGATCTCGACTCTGACGACTGTAAATTTGGAGTTTGTGTGTCTCTCGCTCTCTCATCATCATCACAGTGGCGATATGTTAACTACCTCGCCTGGTATACAGGAGGTCGTAGGTTCTATCCCGACTCTGATGCCTGTAAATTTGGAGTTTGTATGTCTCTCCCCGTGGTCGCGTAGATTTTTCTCCAAGTCTTCCGGTTTTCCCTTCCATATGTAGAATCAACACGCGTTTAGAATATTTGGCTGCTATAAATGTCTGTGTGATGAAAAGCCACTTCGTTGAGCTATAATTTGTGATGGCCAGGTTGCTTCTGAAAAAGAGCTACGTAGTTCTTTCACCAGGAGATCGATCTGGTGACCTCTGGATTGCAAATCCGGTGCGCTGACCATTATGCAATGAGAGCATCCTTATTAATTTCTTAATTGTATTTCAATATAATAGGGTACTGTAATAATTGCATCAAAATTTAGGCACGTTGTTTATCGATTCAATGATTAGTTAACTAATATGTCACATGAGATGCTTGGCTAAGATCCAAATGAACAAACGGATAATGTGTCCAACATTTAAACTTAATAATTTTTGTAGCATTGGTTCAATACAAGCAAACTCCATTCTGTACAAAGACGTATCTACGTATGTATGTTGAAACTCTTTCACACCGTTAAGTAGCCAACCAATCGGAGGTGCGTGGGAAGGACAACAAACTAAATGCAAAAAAGCAGTTATAAAGCAATGAGTTTTCAATCTGGATGATTTAAAAGTGCTAGGCTCCAGTGGCTTCCTAATATTGTAAAGAAGAGCGTTCCCTCCGGCCGCAGAAGCGCACCTGAAAGCGCGCAATGCGGTGACCATCTTTGTTCGATGGCTGGCCAAAAGCCGCTTCCAAGCAGCGTGAAGTCATTAGCTCAGGGCGGATTACTTTTAGACCGATAGTAGCGCGCACACAGACACACGCTGACCGAGGCGACGTACGTTTGTTTGGCGTGGATGTCGTGCAGGAGGATGTGCCGTAGGAACCAGGAGCCCTGCCCTCCGGGTCCGCTGTTGTCATGCCAGATCGTGATGTTCCTGGGCTCGCCCCAGTAGCAGGGCACGGTCATCTCGAACGTGACCGTGCTGCCGCGGCTGAAGCCCTGCACGAGACCGCATGCACACACGCGCTTACTCATATGTCCCTATATGCAGGGGGGCCGGATTGAGGTGGTGGGCCTTTGCACAAAGATGGTGGTCACCGCATCGCGTGCTTTCATATGCGGTTCGGCGGTCGTCTGGAATGCTCTTCCTTCCGATATTAGGAAGCCACTGGAGCTATGCACTTTAAAATCATCTCGATTGAAAACGACTTTATTTTTGTGTTTCGTTTGTTGTCCTTCCCTGCGACTCCAATTAGCAAGGTTGGCTTTGTACGGTGTGAAAGAATTTCGATTTAAAGCTTTCGTGACTGCAGGGATTCATCTTCTTGGTTCTTTCGGTAAAGTCACGTAGAAGGGAAGTAATAAAATAATAAAAATAAAACATAATAAAACAATTCTCACGACGTTTCGGCCACAACGCAAGCAGCCGTCCTCAGGTGAAAACCAGGTCCGTCGAGGCGACAGAGTCTGAATGAAACAGCACACGAGCTTGGAGCATATATATAAGCTGGGCGCATTGACAAAGGAATTTGCATATCAAAAGGAATTTAGCATATTTATGGGAAATGCAGGAATGTGATTAGTACTGCATATGCATGTGCATTATGCAGGATTAACAGCATCAAAGGGAGCTGCAGTTACTGCTGCTGCTGCAATTGCTGCTGCTGCAGTTGCTGCTGCTGCAGTTGCTGCTGCTGCTGCAGTTTCTGCTGCTGCTGCAGTTGCTGCTGCTGCTGCAGTTGCTGCTGCTGCTGCACTTGCTGCTGCTGCTGCAGTTGGATAAGGCAGCAACTGCAGCAGCAGCAGCAAGTGCAGCAGCAGCAGCAACTGCAGCAGCAGCAACTGCAGCAGCAGCAGAAACTGCAGCAGCAGCAGCAACTGCAGCAGCAGCAACTGCAGCAGCAGCAATTGCAGCAGCAGCAGTAACTGCAGCTCCCTTTGATGCTGTTAATCCTGCATAATGCACATGCATATGCAGTACTAATCACATTCCTGCATTTCCCATAAATATGCTAAATTCCTTTTGATATGCAAATTCCTTTGTCAATGCGCCCAGCTTATATATATGCTCCAAGCTCGTGTGCTGTTTCATTCAGACTCTGTCGCCTCGACGGACCTGGTTTTCACCTGAGGACGGCTGCTTGCGTTGTGGCCGAAACGTCGTGAGAATTGTTTTATTATGTTTAATTTTTATTATTTTATTACTTCCCTTCTACGTGACTTTACCGAAAGAACCAAGAAAAAAAAGGTGTGAAAGAAGTTCAAGATACGGAACACACAAGGCAAATAATAATAATCAGGATATTGAATATCAAGCGAGAGGACTCTTACCTTGAGGTGTCCATTGTGCAGGATGCGGGTCCCCGTGTCGCCCAGGCTGAAGTGCACGGAGAAGTAGACCCTGGACTGGGTGCCGGCTCCTGCCCGCATGCCCGTGACGATGCTCAGCAGGTACACATAGGCGTGCGAGTCGTCGTTGTCCACCAGGGGCCTGATCGTCCACTGCGACGCAACATGGAAAAAGCCCCGACATTTACAGACTGTATCGCCATTTGGGCAGCTTGTGCCAATTTACGCGGGAGATGTTGGTGGAAAATAATGGCGGTTTTTTTTCATCATTGCCACTTTCGTGCCAAAATTTCGCCACAGAGTGCCCCTCCACCGATGTACAGGGGCACCACAGTAGTGAGATATGAACTTCCTCACCTGGTATGTAGGAGGCTGTAGGTTTGATCCCGACCCTGATGTTTGTTGTATATTTGGAGTTTCTGTGCCTCTCTATCTCTCCCTGTGGTCACCTGGATTTTTCTCCAGGTCCTCTAGTTTTTTCCTCCGCATTTAGAATCAACGTCCATTTAAGGGTATTTGGCTGCTATAAATTGCCACGCGATCATAAGCCACTTCGTTGAGCTATCATTTGTGGTGGACGGGTCACTTTCTGACAAAAAGCTACATAGCTCAGTGGGTCGTACCTGGATCAAACCCGCGACCTCCTGCATACCAGGCGAGGGAGTTAACATCCTGCCACCACGGCGTTCGATTCCAAGCCACGGCTAAAGTCGGTGGCATGCGCTATCTGAACCGGGGGCATCCTATCGATCAATCTATCGATCAATAAATCGTTGTTTCTTCCCCAGTGCCTGCGTACATTGTCTTTGTCGCGGCGGTCGGCCCTGCGGGCGTAGAGCAGCAGCAGGAGGTAGAGCAGCAGGATGGCGATGACCGTGGAGAAGACGGCCGCGTTGCTCCTCAGGTCGAACTTGGCGAACACCGTGGCGAAGTCGATGGTGTTCGGAGGCACGAAGAACTCAGCGGCGAAGGTGGCCTTGGCGAGGGCCCCCAAGGTCAACGTGGCCACGCAGATGGTCTCCTCCGCCGACGAATCTGGGTGCACCTTTGCACGATCGAGGTTGAGTCAGGTTTGCCCTTCCTGCACTTTTTTGCACGCACTCCTTAATCACGTATTTGTATCGTTTTGTTGCTATTGTTATTGTTGTTATTGCAACATTCTGACCCGCCCCCAGACTGGACATCTGCGAAAACGAGATTTTTTGCTCATCGGATTCCTCCAGCATGAATAAATAAATAAATCGATTTATATTTCGAATCTGATAATTAGTTTAACCAGGGTGACATCTCAAAAGAGCAGGAGAAGTCTGGTTTGCAAAAGGTGACACCTGGGTCAACAAAATTACAAAAGCAAAACAAGATGACATGTACGTATGTATGTACATTGAACTTCTTTCACACTGTACGTAGCCAGCCGTGCTAATCGGAGGTGTTCAGGAAGGACAACAAACTAAAAAGAAAAATCAGATCCCAAGAAATTAGTTTTCAACATAGAATTTGAGGTGCATAGCTCTAGTGGCTTCCAAATGTATGTGTCGTGACTTCGCGGATGTCACTGTGTAATGCCGGCCCTAGAGAGGCACGGCGTGCGATGTAACGACATCGCGGACACCGCGTATATGTGGGTGCAGTACCGGCCCTAGAGGGGCTAGGTGAGCGCTGACTGACAGTGCTGGATGGCACCACGCTCTGCATGCAGTGCCGACCCCTACAGGATAGGGTGTGAGAGTGCCGGCCATGGCAATGGGGTTACTAAGGGCCATGGCACTCTGGTTGACCCTAGAGGACACGTGACCGGTAAAGTCTACACAGGGGCCCCAGGTGGGGGCTAGGGGTGGTCACGTGTCAGGGTCGAGATCCTGCTCGAGTATTCTAAAAGATGGTCGTGGCTAAGGGCGGAGCCAGCCACACCACAGAGGATATAAGCCGGGTCCCAGAGAGGGACCGGCTGCTGCTGTTCATCCTGAAAAATCTACGTTCAACGTTCTATGTCCTACAGAGTCACCAACACGTGGACGGGGAACCAAGCTGTGGTCCGGTCCATCATAGCTAGTTAGTTACGCTGTAATTAGTATAGTTAGCCTAGCGGTCCACCGCCATAGGTTGTTATCTGGTTTCAGGGGCAGTTACCCCTTTGTGTTGGTATTAATAAATGTGTTGCCTCCAGAAAGTACGTCTGCGACTCCGTTGAACTCACTACATATGTATGTATGTTGAAATTCTTTCACCATATGTAGCCAACCGTGCCAATGGAAAGTGCGCAATTGATGAAGCAAATCGAAATTGGAGCAAAAAACAACTGCGTCACCTCGCAAGCAATGAAAAATATTGCACAAGCATGAATCGAAGTTACATAATGATTCCCCTGTAGCATAATTAGGCTCGGGCAGGTTAAAATGTTTTAAGTTCATAACAGTACAATTACTACTAACTTACAGAAACGTGAAACGGATATAGGGTTACTGTTGCGATAATATGTAAACAAAAATATGTCGTGTCAAATGCAATTCCCAGTGAACCCGTAGGGTGTACAGGTTGCGTCAAGAGTAGTCTGAGACTGAACGTAACAATTTCATGATGATGATATTTATTTACCCAGGAAAGTCTCAAGACTCGGGGAGGGGGGGGGGGGTAGCCTGTTGAGTTTTACAGGAGATGAGGGGCTATTCCACGCATCTTCCCCAATTGAGTAATCGGCTGGTAATATTATTTTAGTCACCTCTGTCACTGCCCAGGGCCTTTTGCAGTGACAGAATGAGAATCGGAAGGAGTGTCTTTCCTACTGAGTAAAGTCCGTAGAGCGAAGAAGAGCTCTTTAACGAGGGTGACTCGTCCAGAAAACATCAAAGTATCCCTCGATTATAGATTAAAAAAACTTAATAATACCAATTATGTTGTAAAATTACATTCACACTTAAACTTTCGTGATTTTAACCGAAACAGTTGAAATGGGGACAGAGATGATGGAGTGGAAATGCCAAACGATTTGGGACAGCAGCGATATAAAATGCTTTTGATTCGAATTTCGCACGAAATCTGGGAACTGTTAATTGGCAATCAGACATGCATCGCCGCAGATGGTGTAGGATTCTCTGATGGTAAAAACAGGTCGGACAAATAAAGGGCAGATCTACGGACAACAGCCTTGTAAATGAAAATTACCCTGCAGTGAAATTGTTCTCTTATATCCAACCACATTTGTCCAGCCATGGCATAGATGTCACAGTGACGCGTCTTCTGAGCTGCATCCACTGTGAATCGTAATGCAGCACTGTGTGTGTATAATGTAATGTGGGGAGCGGAAGTGTAGCGATTATCAGGCTGCGCTACGAACCTGGTGACCCGGGTTCGATTCCCTCTTATGGCCAACACGAGTGACGATTATCTGAACCGGTCCTGGTAAATATTGCCACGAGGGAGACAAAGGCGGCCGGGCGTGGTGTTGGCTACAAACGCCCTCATGTCCTGTGCTGGCGTCCATAGGTGCTCGCTAACAGCACTTGCCCCAACAGTCTGTTTTAGGCTTTGTCTTTGTAATGTAATGTAAATAGTCATTTAAGAAATGCATTGCTGACCCATCACACCGTGTTCATTAAATTAAATTAAAATTTTCCCTCGAAGTGGTTGAACTCAATGTTTTTGTCCTTGAGTTTGTCGGGTTGAGAATTATTCCATGAGACAGTGGCCCAGGAACCTTTGGAAAGCGCTGTCGCTATGCGTCTCTAGGCCGGGGATTTGTGTCAAAACGACGACGACGATGAGATCACCACGAGCAGCAACAGACCCGAGATGTTTTCGTTTTCCCGATCATTGGCTACGGGCGCGCACAACTCCCGACAAATAACGGCGGTGCACTCGTGTACAGTCAGACAGAGCTTACACTTTACACGCTGTGGAACCGGAAGTCCAATAAAGTCAAATTCGACCCTTAGTAACTTAAAATAATTTCCCCATCGGTGGAGTGGGGATGCATCACTCACCTGAGCCACACCGGTCACCCAGACGTTACGTTCGGGGTCCCACATCTTGCAGGTCAGCCTGTGGAGCGACATTGCCATGGACGCCGTGACGTTGTTGTCGAGCGCCCTCTTTGCTCTCCGATTGCTTGCATCGGTCGAGTTACCTGCGGCAATAAGGACGAGCATTGTGTGAAGCATTGGGGGGGAACGTTTAGAAGTTGAGTGCCGGCTGGAAAAATCTGTGGTGACTCTGCGATTTCAGCGTCTGGAAAATTGCCACAGAGCTGCGTCCACCTCCCCAGCTGTTGATCGCCAAGACCCAGGGGTCAAGATTTACCACCGTATAAGGCGAGGCCGTGTTTGCAAATTCCCGTAAGATGTAGAGCGTGTGCTCGATACTCGCCGTTTGCATCGCATGATCTGAAACCAGGATTGTAACCGAGATCTGCGCTGGACAACATACACACCTCCGACTAGCACGGTTGGCTACGTACAGTCTGAGAGAAGTTCAACATATGTATGGACGTGGGGGAGAATAGAGGCACAGTACCTGATGTGCGTGTTGAGTGTTGTTACATCATCATGCAAAAAAGCAGACACACATAAAAATACCGTACGTGGTAAATAAACCGTTCTCACAGCCCATTAATTCACACATCTTTCAACGGATGCAGCTCTCTTATGGCACTTGTCGACGCCGAGGTGATAATCTTAGCAGCGTCAAATCGCATAGAGGTGGAACATCACCCCTCGTGTCCCGAAAAAAGACCTCATTAGGTAAACTGTGTAGAGCTAGAATACCACCCTGTGTTCCAGAAAACAAACCTCATGAGCTAAACCGTGTAGTACAGCCGGAACACGTGTTCAACAAAGCCGCGTTGGGCAAGGTTACCCCGAACAACCGCTGGTTTTGCTGCGCCCCCTTCTCTACACTTCCCGCATCGTGGCCGCGTTGTCAACCACCCCATGCGCCGGCCAGGTTCGAGTTCCCCCACGCTTGTCGATTCCAAGCGATCTGTCCGGCTCCCGGTTCTGAGCGGAGGCGTACCGGTTTCCCTGAGGCCCAGGAAGTAAACGCCGACCTTGACGCTGCCGCTCGGCACGAAGACGGAGTACTGCCCGTCTTGGGGGAGGGAGAATCGGAAGTCGTAGTCAGGAGGCCGCGCGGACGGCGTGCCGTTGAACTTGAGGAAGACCTCCAATTCGAGCTCGCCCGTCGTCGTTGTCGTCGCTGGCGGCGGCGTGAACTTCATGAAGATCGCCGAGGCGGTCGTCTCGATGTGGAACTTGCTGATGGCGAGGCAGTCGGTGGCGACGGTGCAGTTGGGCACGGCCATCGCGAGGGGCTGCACGGAGTCCCGGTTTCGTAGGCTCACCACAACGCTCGCGCCCGAGCCATTATGCTCCGCGCTCACGCCCAGCTGCACCACGGGAGAGTTGATTCTGGAACTTGCGTCCCACACGTATGGGTTTTTGTCAAACGAAAGAACCTGTGAGAGACCATGCGGAGAAAAGAGTGCAACTTTTGCTGGCATTTTTTAAAATGCAAAGTGTAAAAAAATAAGTCATGATAATTTGCAGATCTTTGTCAATCAAACAGTCAATATGATATATGAACGGGCATATCATCTATGTTCTATCATAAGTATACTAGGCTGGCATATCCCCTATCTTAGGGGGAATGACGACAAACTTAACACAAAAAGGAGTGATAAAGAAAAAAAAGAACAAAAATATATCACGACGTTTCCATCGCAACACAAGCAGTCATCCTCAGGCGGAAAAAATAATCCAGCAGTGGAACTGCTGAACCAGGAAGAAACACAGCGAGAGAGCTGTTACAACAAGAGGTTATATATGTGGCGAAGGGCGATCAGGCGGGGTCTGAGCTGGAAAGGAATTCTATCCCCGCACGCAAGCACGTCAGTTGTGTTAATGGGGGAGATTAGGGAGAGAGATTAGCATAAAATGAGCTTCCGTCGCCGCATAATAGTATCGCCCCCGCATATACCCACAACAGCAGTGTTGATGAGAGATTAGCACTATGTTTATGGGAGAGATTAGGCAGAGAGATTCGGGGGATTAGCAAGTTAATGTAATGTCTATGTGTAACACAAGCTGCGGCGCTGCCAACTGCGCTGTTAGAGGCAAGCGTTTCCATGCAAGAGAACCACCGCAACGGTGGTCGTGCCAGTGAGACACACATCCCATCACACAGCCAGAACCATCGATACAACGAGGCTAAGGGAGCAGAGGTGGCCATGTTAGTGGGACCCCAGTCCGTTAATGCAGAGGGACATAACAGGGCAATGCAACTCGGGGAGTCGGAGATAACAGCCAAACGGCAGGGAAGAATGGAAGCACCACAGCAAGTTACGATTTTGCTTGGCCATCTTCATTCGATCGCTGAGCCAAAATCTGCCAATGTGAGGATGACCAGAGTTCGCATGATCATGGTTTATGCTCCTTTACGAGATCAGCGAGGTATTGTGGTTCATCTCTGGCAAGCGCTTTGTGTGTAATGAGTGCTGGTGGTGTTGTCGTTGTTATTGCAACTATACCTCACCTTACGGAGCAGTCACCCCCGCAGGGCTTGTAGGAAGCTCGAGTGTAAGCAGACGACTACAGAAGTTACACTTTGCGTTTGTGCGTGCGATCATTCATATCCCCGTCAGATACTTTTCAAAATCACATTCAGCCCCGAATACGGAAAGGGTCCCCCACCCGTGCCTTATGGCCAAATCACCCAGGGGGGCACCATATCTCGATCGGCCCTTCGAGGCTAAGCAGGTTTGAGCCCGGACAGTGCTCCGATGGGTGACCACCCGCGTACATCAGGTTGTCACGCGTGGCTTTTGGCACTGGCGGTCAGCGGCGCAGCGACAGCAACTGTTGCGCTGCACATCTACGTGCTCCCGCGTCCCTGCTGTCCCCAGATCTACCGACCCGCACACCAGCCAAAGGTGCGTTTTGTGAAGTATGGTCAAGTTACCCCATGATCTGTGTGGTGCGGGGAAGCCCCCATCTAGCAGCGGAGCAGCAGCACGGGCTGCACGTGCACGCGTACCACTTATAGGTGAACACAAGAGCACGCGTATCATTGCTGTTGTCACGTGGGTCTCTTTAAGTCAATTCACATCAATTGGCAAGAGAGAGTGCAGCGATGGCACATTTTGTTTAAACAAAATGACACAACCATATTGCAATGACAAAGATCCCCCGTATAGCCTTAGCAGACTGTTGGGGCAAGTGCTGTTAACCAGTAGCACCTATGAAGGCCGGAACTGTGGCACGCGAGGGGGTGGGTGGCCAGCAACCACGCCAAGGTCGCCTTTGTCTCCACAGTGGCGATGTTTACACAGCGCACCACATGCAATAACGCTGGCACACACACACGCACCTGTATGTTGGCCGTCTGAAGTAGGAGCTCATCTGAAACGTTCGTGAAGGACGCGTTCAGATTGGTAAGGCCATTGTCCCACTGTTTGTCCTGCACGCTGCCGAGGGTGTTCAGGCCGATTGTGACGCTGAGGTTGTTTGCCGTGACCACGATCGGCTCTTCCCCAAACACCATGGCGTCCAGCATCATGCCGGTGAAGTCATCGATTGCCTGCGTGCAACTGTCAACCACCTGCATCGTCTGCGGGGATGATGGAAGAGGGATGAAGCCAAGTGCCCTTAACTCAACACGTTCCGTGCCAATAACATCATTGTGTGTGTGTGGCATTAAAATGAAAAGTATATACAGCCGACGATTCGGGAAGTGGCCCTTCTTTAAATCAAATGAATCATCTATGCAGAAGGGCCATTTGTTGAAACGTTGCCCATTATAAAAAAAAAAATTCCTGAGGTCATAGTCCTATTGACGACTGTGTCGACTATTTTTTCGTCGTTAATTGTGCATGTGGGAGCGCCACTGCCAACGCTACAGCAGCAGCATTGTCGAATAACGCGTTAATCTTTAATTGCAGTGCGATTAGAAACGGCCGGGTAGCTTAGGGGGCACGGTCAATGGCAGAGCTACGAAGCTGAGTCAATCCACCGCAGGATTAGGGGGGATCCTCCCAACGCCTGGGCAGGTCACGGGGGTGAGCGGACCCCGGCCTCGAGGCCCCTCTGTGCGGGGCGGTGAGGCCGGGGAGGCCCCCGACCTCAGAACCCCAAGTTGGATGGAGCACCGAGAGCGCTTGGATTGGTGACCGCCACGCACAAACAGCTTGCCACAGCAGCCGTGGGCTTGCACAAACAAATGAAGGTACAATACAAAGTCTTTTCCAAGTTTTCTCTCTGCTTAATAAATAACATTGCTTTAATTTATTTTCATACATAAACTATATATATTTAAAACAACCCCTTTGAACTATTTTCATTGCACCAGGTCAGGTCCACTGAGCTGTGTAGCATTTTTTCAGAAGCCACCTGGCTATCGCACATGATAGCGCTCAAGGAAATAGCACATCATGTGGCGGCACGTGCCCCCGCCCCCAATGATCGGATCGAAATCCCTCATTTCGATCGGATCATTGGGGTTTATTAGTAATAAATCGGCATTTTGCGACCCCCACTGCCACTGTGTAGCATATTATTATTTGTGAGAGACTCTTAGAGATGATAGGACAATAGTCCTGAGTCCATAATTGGCAATAAGTAACTGCAACGCAGTTAAGTGACTCTCATAATTGAGCGCAGCTGCGTCTACAGGACACGACTTCCCTGAAGGAATTCACCTTCAGCGAGCGCGATGCCGATCACACGACGCGGTTCGAATTCGACCCTCGATCAATGGCTGCCCCATCGCCGCACACGCGTCGAATAAAAAGCAAGGGATAAGTCCTTACCAACTAACAATTCCTCTATCATTTTTCATTGCTGGAGGGGTTGCCCCTTCTACCTGAAAACCCTGGCTCCGCCATTGCTCCAAACGCACGTTGATTCTAAATGTGGAGGGAATGGCCGCACTGCACCGACGTTAGCTGTGACTTAGAATCGAACGCCGTGGTGGTGGGATGTTAACTCCCTCGCCTGGTATGCAGGAGGTCGCGGGTTAGATCCAGGTATGACCCACTGAGCTATGTAGCTCTTTGTCAGAAAGAGACCCGGCTGTCACAAATGATAGCTCAATGAAGTGGCTTATGATTGCGTGGCAATTTATAGCAGACAAATACCCTTAAACGCACATTGATTCTCAATGTGGAAGGAAAAACCGGAGGACCCGGAGAAAAATACACGTGATCACAGGGAGAGAGACATACACAAACTCCAAATATACAGCAGGCGTCAGGGTCGGGATCCAACCCACGCCCTCCGGCATACCAGGCGAGGTAGTTAATATCGGTGGATAGGAGATGTTAACTACCTCACCTGGTATGCAGGCGTCAGGGTCGGAATCGGCTCCATGAACTCCTGTATACCCAGGCGAGGTAGTTAACATCTCCTAGCCACCGTAATGATGATGAGAGAGAGACACGCAGACTCCAAATATACAGCAGGCATCGTCAGGGTCGGGATCGAACTCACGACCTTCTGTATACCTATGCGAGGTAGTTATCATCTCCTAGCCACCGTGATGATGATGATGAGAGAGACACGCATACTCCAAATATACAGCAGGCATCGTCAGCGTCGGGATCGAACCCATGACCTCCTGTATACCCAGGTGAGGGAGTTAACATCTCCTAGGCACCGTGGCGCCCCTATTCAAGCTCCCCCCGCATGCATGTCCGTGTACCCTCTGATAAGTTCAAGTATCCCCTCACCTGCGGGGTTTGTTGGGCGAGCCGCTCGCGGTACGCTTCGCTCTGCTGGAGCCGGAACCTATCGGCCTCCTGCGGGTTCATGTCGAGGCTGTCGGGGGAGTAGTCGGCGTCGAGGGCGGCGACGGCGGCCGCGGAGACGCGGTCGCTCGACGTCCCCGTGAGGCCCCCGACGACGCCGACCAGGGCTTGAGGCCGGAGACAGGGGTTGGGGGGGGGGGGTCGGGGGAGGGGATGGGGAGAATGGGGGTGAGGGGTGGAGGGGCAAAAGCCGCTCAGAAGATGAATGTGGAAAACCAGGAATTAAGTTAATAAAGACGAGAACTGCTCTCACCCGCGATCCAATCATCCAACGACTCCTGTCATCTTCGGGGGCTGTCGGGTCTATCGAAAACTAAAAATGATTTTTTTTGTTTCCAATTTACATTTTATTTTACCAAATAAGACCCCACTGAGCTACATGTTTCTCATTTTCAGAAGTGACCTGGCTATCACAAATAGCAGCTTAACGAAGTGGCTTACCACTTGGACATTGCCAAATACTCTAAGCGCGTTATTTGGATTCTCAATGTAAAGGGAAAAACCGGAGAACCCTGAGAAAAATCCACACCACCACGGGGAGAGAGAGACACGAAAACTCCAAACATACAGCAGACGTCAGGTTCAGGATCGAACCCACGGCCTCCTGCATACAAGGCGAGTGAGTTAACATCTCCTAGCCACCGTGGCACCCTACTTGTGGCGCTCATTAGCACGGTTGGCTCTGTACGGCACAAAAGAAGTTCAACGTACATACATACTGCCCATCGACTAACACGACCCATAGACTCAATACTGCACCGCCGATTAGCACGGTTGGTTACGTACGGTGCGAAAGAATGTCAACGTACACACTACGTGGGAGAGTCTTCCTTGGATTTGAACTGCGTGCGACGGTCTCGTCCTCATGCACTCACGGCACAATGCACAGCACGGCCCACAGGTGGCATTCCACTCCTAAGTTTAGGCTGATCTGGTAATCATTATACGTTCATTTTATACTAGTTCCTGAAGCCTGTCTTCGCCAGGCAAATGTTTTCAATAAATATAATTAACCTGATGTGATATGATATATGTTTTGCAATTTTTATCGACGATCAGACCACGAAAAACTACTTCAAACAATTGTATTTTTCTTCGCAAAAAAAACACAAATTGTTGACAATTTGACTCAACTTGTTATATTGAAAGACGTACCGATCGGAAACCGCTAAATTTAAAGATTCCGTTATGTTTTTACGATAAAGAACAACAACATATCAACTTAATACTCTGAGAAGGAAAGCTCCTATCTTTGACCGTTTTAAGATATGAACATTAGATCAATGGTTCCCGCTTTAATTTTACTTGCTGTTTAACGCTCTATGAAACGAAAAAAACTCAACCTTATATTTTGAACGGTTTCTGAATGACACGCACTAAACATGTTTATGCGGCACTTAAAATCGAGATATAGAGGCCTACAAATGAAAAGTTTCGGATGTTTTTTTTATTTCCCTGTTTGTGTCCTAAAACTTCTTACATACCGAATTTCAGCTTTTTGCCTTGCCGGGAAGTACTATTGAGGTTTTTGAGAATACACATCAGGGTCTTTATTTGTACAGATTTATATTGATATCAGCATCATTCATGCTAAAAGCATCCCACGACGCTGTACGTCAATATTATATAGAAGGATCATAATCCCGTATACCGGGTTGGCTACATACGGCGCCAAGCCCAACACACACAAACACACAAATTAATAAACATAAACACCACCAAAACAAAAATCACAAACAACAACAAAAGTTATGACAACAAAGAAAGCCGAGGTGCCTTGTGGACAACATTACCCAGGGCTAAGGGCAACTTGCCCTAAGGAAAGACACTCATAATCAGAATATTTATTTAGACTGGAGTAGGAATCCGATTAGCTATACAGATTTTTTTAGATATCCAGTCGGGGTAGGTCAGAAAGTTACAACAACAAACAGTACAAAAACACGATAGGAGGTGCAAAATATATGAAAAGGTAAACAAATCACATAAAAAATAAACAAATAGAAATTAAACTATTCTTTTTTTATTTTACCCACTGAGCTATTAGCTTCTCTTTCAGAAGCGACCTGGCCACACATGATAGTTCACCAAAGTGACTTTTCACATGGAAATTTATTACAGCAAAATAATATTAATAATATGAACGCACTGACCTTGGCACTGTGTGAGAAATAGTTATCCAAAGTATATAAAACAACAAAATAATCAATTACAATGCCAGCCACTGTGGTGTCACGGTCAGCATACTGGACTTGCAAGGTCGCTGGTTCGAATTGATGCCCTGGCCCATCAAAGCACTGTCCAGCAACAGCTTTCCACAGAGCCCTTAATGAGCACAACATATATAGCTGTCTAAGAGCTCGCAGCATATTTTACCAGACTGGTGGTGAAACATGACAGTGGAAATGTAATCGGCTACAGAAGGCCCACCATGATAATAATAAATTATTAATACATGCGATGTATACCGTGTAAAAATAAACAACGTGAGAGCTGCTAAGTGAGACATTTGATGACAGTCCAAACAAATGAAAGCCAATCGGATAAAAAAACACGAAGAAAATGTAAATGTGTGTGCACTGTGCAATTGTATGCTCTTCTAGACGGTGTACGCATTTATGTTGAATTTATTTCGCACCGTACAGAGGCAACTGTGCTAATCGGAGGTGCAGTGTTGGGCCTGTGGGCATTGTTGAGTCTGGGTAGTATCAGTCTATGGGCAGTGTTGGGTCTATGGGTAGTGTTAGTCTATGGGAAGTGTTAGTCTATGGGAAGTATGTATGTGTAGTGGGTTTAACTGAGTGGCAGACGTAGCCTTTGGAGGCAACGCTTTTTATTTAGTTCCAACCAGTGGCGGCTCCTGCAAAATCTCTCAGGGGGGGCAAATGTCTGGATGATTAAGGTCCACCCATGCAATGAATAAATTAACAGCTTAAGCATGTAAAGGCAACTTCACTTCTTTAATATTAATGAAAAATAAAGTGACTCTTACAATACATCTTGTTTGTTTATATACTCACTATTAAAACAAACCACTCAAGTTTATTTTATTAAAGATTCCACTCGGTAGCGATAAATTATATTGTTGGATGAAACGTGCTTACGTATGATGACGTAAGCACGTATGATGACGTAAGCACGTTGGGGCTTGCCCTCCCGGAGCCATAGAGAATGCATTGGAGCGCCCCCGTTCGAAAAAAAACATCTTTCAATGTAAGTCTATGGGGCCACTCGGGGCGATTCTCAGCCGGAGTGAAATCGCCCCAAAAGAGGCGGTACTCCACAGAACGTAGCATGACGCTGATTGGACTATATCCAGAGGCTGCAGTGACGGCTAGCGTGACTGTGGTTGAATGACATTGGTGGTGCGTCGCCCAATCGCCCTATTGAAGAAACCGCCACTGGTTCCAACACAGAATAACAACCTGAGGTGGTGAATACCCGGCTAACTACAATAGTTACTACATAACTGTTACTATGGACCCGGGACCAACAACATTTGCACGGGTCCACGTGCTGGAATACTCGTTGAACGGAGATTGTAGTTGAAGGGTTTCTTTCCCGGGACGAACAACCCTGGTCCCTCTCGGGACCCGGCTTATATTCTCTGTGGCGTGGACGGCTCCGCCCTTGGCCACGTCCACCTTCCAGAATCCTCGGGAAGGATCTGGGTCCAAATCATGTGACCCCCCTAGCCACCTCTTGGGGCCCTCTGTCAACTTAACCAGTCACGTGTCCTCCCGGGTCGACCAGAGTGCCATGGCCTCACGCAACATTACCCTTCAGTTGGCACCCACACACTCTTTCGTGTAGAGCTGGCACTGGACTTACAACCAGGTGCCATCCAGTGCTATTATCCAGCACACACCATGCCCCTCTAGGGCCGGTATTACACTCACGGCATGGTGGTATCCAGCGATGTCGTTACATCGCACACCGTGCCCCTCTAGGGCCGGTACTGCACCCACAGCGTGGTGACATCCAGCGATGTCACTACATCATGCCCCCCCACCCTTCGTAAAACACAGCCGTCCTGGCTGTCAACTCCCCCTCCACAAAGCAAAGCCCCCCAGCGTGCCTTAACAAATAAATACCCCATCTCATATATACAATATTTACAATATATAGAATGACGAACGGGGGAAGAGAATAGAGGTACAGAACCCAACAATAGGCAAAAACACAATGGAAGATAGAAAGGGAGAGAGAGAAAAAAGAGAGAGAAAAAAGACATGCGGTAACACGCAAAACCTCGGGACCCACTCTAACACCAGCATCACCCACCCTCAATGTGTAACAACACCCGCAAGTACAATAAAGGCCAGGTTCAGCTAATGACCAAGACGACATGACGAGTGCGACAACCAACTGACGGCATGGGAGTGTGTGTGTATGGGGGCCACGAAAACCGAACAGTCTTGGAACGAGTCCTTGTAGCCTGGCACCCAGGCTAGGTGGGCGTAAGTTCCCTGGGGGTCCCGGGGGGAATTTGAAAATTTCTCGACGAGCCTGGCTCCTCACGAAGAGCAGTCGGAGGGGCAGGCGGGCCCTCCGCTCCCGAAGCTGTCGGGAATGGTGCAGGCGGCGGCTTGGTGGAAGTTAAATGCGTGGAACCTGAGGACGGGATCACATAACTCCCCTGAGGGCCAACCTCAGCGGGTACACACCTCAGCTTCCCCGACACACCCGACACTTGGCCCCTGTATAGTGGAGATGAGATTAATTTACGTGGCGCCATAAATGTTTTATGTGAGAGGGATGTACAGACCAACTCTGTCGACCCCAGCAAATTTGAACACACTGATGCCGAACAGCTCGAATCACATTAACCGGCCCCCTCCAAGGTTTAAACAATTTTGGTGATGTACCCACCAGTACCTGAAGACAGTGCAGCCAGGCTCTATCACCTGGAGCCCAATTATGTCCGGACAGATGGAGACCCCTCAGCCGCTCATTTGCCAATTGTTGTGAATTTGATTTTTCTCTGGAAGCCTCGCATGCTTCCGAAAGCCTCCGAAGGGTAAGGCGCATGGGCTCCAAAATGTTATATTTAGTCCTGTTTGGCTTAGTTCGTAATTGGACATCAATCGGGGGGTCGTGTTTTCTC